CCTGAGGTGGTTCAGGGCAGGTGGAGGGCCTTCAAAGTGTTCAAGTGCTGCTTAATATCCAAATATCGTTATTTACTAAACGATTGCTAGGGCCAGGGATGTGCTCAAGAGCCCAAGGTCTGGAGCATTGAGGAAATAATCCTATAGAAGTTTAATGACCAATATGAAACGTCCTCTGTAGGAAGGAGAGTGGATACTTGAGCCTAGTCTGTAGTAAGCTAAGATTTACAAAAAAGTAAGAGGGAGAGCGAAGTGTTACACGCAGAGATGTGTATTGGAAAGGTCAGGGAAGAAGGAACGTAATGGAATTGAAATCATTTAATTAGAGGACATGGTGGGGTTCACCACAAGCAGGTAACAGACTAGGAATCTGAAATTCAGAATTTAGTCACCTGCCTGAGATTTTGTATGAGTGGCAAGTTTCCACACCCAGATGTGCCTTTTAAGCCTATGTTTGTTTTTTAAGATTTACTTATGCATACAGAACTGGGGTACAGAGGCCAGAGGTGCAGGGGTGGTGAGAGGATTCACCAGAGACAGAGTGGGGAGCAGAACAGGCAGATCAATGAAGAACACTGCTGAGGGGAGCAGCAGGCCGGTCAGGAGAGGTCTGAGCGCCATGTGGGTCAGCTCTGGGGTGGGAGTTTTGGGGTGGGGGATCAAACTTGCACTGAGGTGGCTGCGCTAACTTGCAGTGCTATGCCTAACCCATTGTGCCACCAGGGAGGGCCTAAGCCTATGTTTTTTAACCATAATCTATGGCACCTCCTTAGATACAGAGGGAAGCCTCACAATCCAGTTAGAGAGCCATCAGCTGCCAAGCTGACACCTATTGATGGTCAGAACCCTTAAGGTCAGAGAGATGAGAGTTCCCTGAGAATAACAGGATAGGAGATGAACAGAGTCCCTGCCCCCTAGAAGTTCAGATGGAAGCCAACATAAGAGAAAAATTACATTCTGATAGTTCTCAGGTCATGCTGTAAGGGCTGTCTTAACCAAATGTGGTTGGGTCCCAGAGGAAGAAGTGAAAAACTGAATCGTCATGGAGGAAAAGCATTCCATGCAAAAAATGAACAACATGTGCAAAGCATGGAGTGGATTAGGAAAATGGGAACAGGTTCACTGCAGATGGAAGGATTCAGATCCTATGGAAGAAGTGCACATATAAAAGATTTTCTAAAAAGATTTATTTATTCATACTGGGATATAGGCCAGAGGTGCAGAGGGGTGAGAGGATTCACCAGAGACGGAGTAGGGAGCAGAAAAGGCAGATTAATGAAGTACATTGCTGAGAGGAGCAGTGGGCGAGAAAGGAGAGGTCTGCTGCACCATGTGGGTCAGCTCCCTGCCCGGGGATTGAACTTGTGTGCAGTGGCTGTGGATAGCGTCTTAGTGCTGTACTTAAACCAGCTGTGCCACCAGGGAGGGCCCATAAAGGATTTAAAATGGCAGAAGCAAGGAGAGGGTACATTAAGACCCAATGTGGGGGAGCTCCTTTGCAGCTAACTTTGAACACCTATACTCCCAAGGGAGGAATGTCAGATTAGCCACCTCAACTTCATTCTATCTGTAGAAGTGAGAAGTGGGGGTATTACAAAATATAGGAAGTTTAAATAAGTTCCCCTTTCTTCTGTGAGAAAGATAGTGAGATGATGAAGTCCCGAGGCTTAGTCTGTTCTCAAGTCCCCACTGTGCCCTTATTACAGTTCTTTGTATGGTGTAGTCATTAAGTAAATGTTAGTCTTTGCCAGTGGGGTTGGGAAATGGGGTGTAATGAGTCTAATCTTTATTACTCCCACCAATCTATGAAGTCCAGAAATGTTAAGCTGTGTCTGAATCATTTTTTACTTCAACACCTAGCACAGTGCCAGGCATAATTAAGTATCAATAAATGCTTGATAAGCAGATTAATGCTATCTTCCTAGCCTGATACCTCACAGAGAACAGTAGGCCTCTGAAGCCTTATTAAGCTTTTCCCATTCATCCTTTCATCTCTGGCCTCATGTTGCCATTTCTAACCCCCAGAGCAGGCTGCCCGCCTGAAGAAACTACAGGAGCAAGAGAAACAACAGAAAGTGGAGTTTCGAAAAAGGGTGAGAATATTTGGAGAGATCAAGGCACTTTCAGGAAGGATTCAAATAAGTTAAAATTGGAAGTCTGCGGGCGGAGTTTTGTTTTGTTTTGAATATCTTCAGAAAGGTGAAGCCTGGAAGCTAAAGGTATAGAGGCTGGGAAAGGTGCAGGGTGGCAAAGACACTGACCCATCATCTCATGTATTCTTTTCTTTTCCCTCTCCCGAGATGGAGAAAGAGGTGTCAGATTTCATCCAAGACAGTGGGCAGACCAAGAAAAAGTTTCAGCCAATGAACAAAATAGAGAGGAGCATACTGTGAGTATCTGGACTGGGGAGGTGGGACAAGAAATGGGGGGCCAAGGTAGCATGCAGGGGGGATCCGTAAGAGGAGTACACTTAAGCCCCTCATACTCTTTCCCACCCTCCCACCTTTCCCAGACACGATGTTGTAGAGGTGGCCGGTCTGACATCCTTCTCCTTTGGGGAAGATGATGACTGTCGCTATGTCATGATCTTCAAAAAGGTGAGAGACTTGAATTCCTAACTCTTCTCTCTCCTTTTCAGCCTATAGCCCCTTGGGAGAGGAATGAGATAAAACATGTATCCATTCCCTTCTTCCCCAGGAGTTCGCACCCTCAGATGAAGAGCTGGACTCCTATCGTCGTGGTGAGGAGTGGGACCCCCAGAAGGCTGAAGAGAAACGGAAGCTGAAGGTGAGTTTGCCAGGCAGTCCCTATAGCCCTGCCCTAGGGAAGCCTTGGGCCCCTGAGTACCGTGCTCCACCTCTGTTCCCCTAGGAACTGGCCCAGCGGCAGGAGGAGGAGGCTGCCCAGCAGGGACCTGTGGAGGTGAGCCCTGCCAGTGACTACAAGGACAAGTACAGCCACCTCATCGGCAAGGGGGCAGCCAAGGATGCAGCCCACATGCTACAGGCCAACAAGACCTACGGTTGTGGTGAGGCCACAGTGGGGACTGTGGGGAAGGAAGGGGGGAGGAACACAGGGTGGAGGGGAGAGGAGGCCATGGCACAGGGCTCCTAGGCCTCCCCACACCCACCTTTGCCCCCAGTACCTGTGGCCAACAAGAGGGACACACGCTCCATTGAAGAGGCCATGAATGAGATCCGAGCCAAGAAGCGTCTGCGGCAGAGCAGGGAAGAGTTGCCACATACCTCCTAGGCCTCCCCCCAGCTCCCTTTGACCCCTGGAGCAGGGCAGGGCAGGGCAGGGGTCAGGGAGGGACAGGCTGCTGCTATTAAAACCCATCCTGGAGCCCCGCCTCTGAACCACCTCCCAACAGCTATCACTTGGCTGGGGGGGAAGGGGGTGTTTGTCACTGTTGGAGCTTGTATGTGTGTGTGCGCGCGCGTGTGTGTGAGAAAGTGTGAATGCACAGGTGGGTATTTAATCTGTGTTAGTCTCCATTCTTCTTGGAATTTTCTTCCCCATGAGGCTGGGGCTACATTCAATAAACACTGTTTGACTCAATGTCTTGGTTTGTTTGAACAGAGAAGGATGGGTCCTGGAGAGAAAGAGAAATAATTTTAAGTTGAACAGCAACGTTGTCTGTATAGATCAAATGTGGCCAAATACTGGTACCTTCTTTTTATTTATTTTACTTATTTTTTTAGTTAATTTTTTAAAAGATGTATTTATGCATACAAGAGCTGGGGTGCAGGCCAGAGATGGGGTGTAGGAGGCGTGGGTAAGAGGATTCACCAGAGACAGAGTGGGGAGCAGAACAGGCAGATCGACAGAAATACACTGCTGAAGGGAGCAGAGAGTGAGACAGGAGAGGGCTGCTGCGCCATGGGGGTCAGCCGGGGATTAAACTTGTGTTGCAGTGGCTAGAGACAGCTTCACAGTGCTGCGTCTAACCCCTTGTGCCACAAGGGAGGCCCCCAAATTAACTGATATTTAACTGAGGTGATACTGGGGTACCCTCATTAGGTATCACCACCACAGTGCACCCACCACCTACTCATCCATATTCCATCACCACAGACCATTGTGTTTCCTTCTCTCTGCTCTTATCCCTCCCTCTCCCCTCTTGGTGCTTCAGTTCTCTAGTCAGCTGTCAAGGGTTTTTAAGCTTGTCTTTATATGGACTATTAATTAAGTTACTTGATGTTCCAAATACTGGTACTTTCACAGAGATTTATAGGTGTATTTTAAGAAATAACCACTCGAATCAAGTGGCTTAGCTTTGTGTTACCTTGGGTATCTTAACATTTGTGCCTCTTTCTTCACCTGTAAAATGGGGATAGCACTGGTAACCAACGACCTTGACTTCCAAGATTACACAGGTTGACATGATAAATAGTTACAGCAGATCAGGTCCTCAGAGCTCCACAAAAGTTGTAGCTGCTGTCTCACCTTATCACTCTTCTTACACTAACCCATCTTGGGGTTGGTGACCCCACAATCTGGATGTTGACCCCCTAGAGAAATGAGATCCAAGTAGCCCAGTCATTGATCAAAGGGGTCCTTGGTTGAGATGACTGATGGGGATGGAGACAGAGTTGGATTAAAGATGGAAGGGCCTCATGGAGGGCAGCAGGTCGGAGAGACTGGATAGGGACAGCTGTGGGGCTCATCCTCATAAACAATGACACTTCAACCCTGCAGACCTTGTGCTTCATCCTATGGGTACATGTGGCCCAGGTAATGTCATGTCCAAGGACCCTGACCTACATTCCTCTAGTACTTGTTCCGTACTTGTTCCATCAGTGCTGCTTTAGCTTCATTTCACACAGAGCACCTGCATCACCCTACCTCCTTCCAAAATGTGAATTCTGTTACCCAACCCAATTTCTTCTCTAACCAATCTTACTTCCTCTTTGTCCCAACAGGGTACATGTCTTTTCTTCCCTCCTATGCCCAGACTGGCCATCTCCTCCCGCCCACAAAGGAACATGCCACTGTCATGGTTGGCACCAGTCTTTATTTCAGCTGGAAGGCTTAAAGGCCTGCCTCTTTCCTATGGTGTCCTGAGGCCTCCAGCTTCTCACTTGGCCTTCGGGTTACGGAATTTGCGTCCAGCAAAGACAGCCTTGTCCCCGAGAGCCTCCTCAATCCTAGAAGGTGGACAAAGTCAGAATTGCCCCCTTCCAAACCAACAGCCCTCAGCTCCACAGCCCCAGGTTCACCCACTGTACCTCATGAGTTGGTTGTATTTGGCCAGACGCTCTGATCGGCATGGGGCACCAGTCTTGATCTGAGGAAGGAAGAGGGATTCCATGGGTTGGATGAGGCTGGAGAGGAGGGACTGGGCCTGGCCCTAAGGGAGCAGCCTGTTGTGGATTTCAATTTAGGGACAAGAGACCAATACATGATCAGAGAGAGGGTCACGAGTACCTGTCCTGTGCAGAGCCCCACCACGAGGTCAGCGATGAACGTGTCCTCAGTCTCTCCAGATCGGTGGCTCACCATCACCCCCCAGCCATTAGACTGAGCCAATTTGCAGCTAGAAAGAGAGAGAGGACACTCAATAAGGTCTCAAGGGACCTTCTCGGTGGAAGAGCCCGAGGCTGAAGTGGGGCTTCTCCCTTCTTTTTGAGCTTGTGGGCACCTTGCAGGAGGGTTCTTTGGGAAGTGGTAGAGAAAGGGAGATTATCTGGTCTCAAGTTTGGGATGCTGAGATCCAGGTGGGATAATCTGAGGAAGGAATACCATCCTGGGGATGGGGCTCAGCAGAGTCACAACAGCAAAGATCTTGGGGTCAGTCAAGGGGTAGTAAAATCTTGAGGTCAGGCAAAGGGGGTGGGTCAGGGGCCAGAGAAAAGGCATATCTGGAGTTAGTAAGCAGGACTGCGGCCGGAGCGGGTGAGCTGGGGCACAGTGAGGAGATGGTGAGTCCCCACATCAGAGGCACTCACGCCTGGATGGACTCGGTCACCGAGCCAATCTGGTTGACTTTCAGCAGCAAGCAGTTGCAAGCCTTCTTCTCAACGGCCTGGGCAATCCTCTTGGGGTTGGTGACTGTGAGGTCATCCCCCACAATCTGGATGTCGACCCCCGAGAGGAATGAGGTCCAGGTGGCCCAGTCATCCTGGTCAAAGGGGTCCTCAATGGAGACCACTGGTGGGGGTAGGGGCAGAGTCAGGTTAAAGATCTGAAGAGCCTCATGCAAGAGATACAGCAGCGTCTGCGTGGAGACCACGATAACACTAGTGTTGGCAGCAATGGAGGCACTGAATTCAGGGACTGTTGGGAAGGTCAGGGACTCAGGTGGGAGTGACGGGACACCTGGGGGTCTTACCAGGATAGTTCTTGATGAAACTCTTGTATAATTCTCCCAGCTTTTCCCCAGAGATGTGCCGGGAGGGGTCATCAGGTGACTTAAAGTCAAGATCGTACTTCCCATTTCGAAAGAACTCAGATGCTGCCACATCCATACCAATCACCACCTTGTCTGGGTACCCAGCCGCCTGGATGGCCGTCTTCAGCAGCTCCAGGGCTGGAAGAGGGACAAGCGATAACCTGAGGTTCTAGCATACCCTTTCTCTGCACCCCCCTCTATGGGAACCCGAGGGTTCTGCCCACCCCCCCAGCTTGCTCAGCACTGACCCTCATTGTTCTCCAGGATGTTAGGTGCGAAACCTCCCTCATCACCCACATTGGTGGCGTCCTTCCCATACTTGGCCTTAATGACCCCCTTGAGGTGGTGGTAGACCTCAGCACCAATGCGCATGGCTTCTTTGAAGGAGCTGGCACCCACGGGCAGAATCATGAACTCCTGCATGGCCAGCTTGTTACCAGCATGGGAGCCGCCGTTGATCACATTGAAGGCCTGAGACAAGGAGGAGGTGCTCCAATCAGGGCCATAGTGTGAGGGGTCAAGAAAGGATGTGGGGTGGGGACATGGAGTCCTGGCTTCCCTACTTATTAGCTGAGTAGTCTAGGATGTGTAATTTTACACTGTAATTTTATACTGCAGAGCCTCTTTCCTCATTTCTATAAAAAGGGGATATCGCCTGCTTATCTGCATGATTTTATGTTTAAAATGAGAGAATGAATATAAAGCTCTCCTCACGGGCCTGGTATAATATCAGCTAATGCTGGCATGTCACCCAGGGCAGGCACTGTTCTAACTGCATTATGTGTATTCTATCAGCCCATCTCATTCTCAAACAACCCTACTAACCAGGGAAAATTGCTGTGTCCCATTTTACAGATGAAGAAACTGAGGCACAGGAGGTTAAACAACTCGCTTAAGATCACACCACTAGTTAAAGGGCAAAGCCAGGATTTGAAGCAAGCAGCAGGTCTCCAGAGCTCAGCCTCTTACACAATCTGCCTAGTAAGTAACAATAAATGGTAACATTATTACTGACAGTAAGTTCAAAAAGTTTCTGTTAAGTGGGAATTTGGTTTAATAAAGATTAAAGAAGATACTAAGAAATGCCAAGATCCTTGTCACAAAAAAAAAAAAAAATCTCTGAATCTAACTTGGAGGTTAAGGTATACAAGGCAGGAGAGGTTGTTGTTTACTGAGCCTGGGATTGGAATGTAAAGGAACCGGGTATCACGGGAAAGCAGCAGAGAAGCTTAAGGGAAGGTTTGGATTGTGGGAAAGAGGGAGGGGCTGAACCGCAACAGGAGAGGTTCCATTTCAGGAAAGTTTCTTAGGAGCTGGGTCTGGAAGGTTAACTTTCCAAGACCGGCTTCTGCACTCCTCATTAGGCAGGGAACTTTCACCACTGGGAGCTGGCAGGAGCAGCTATACTCACAGGGACTGGGAGGACCAGGTCCGGGTTCCCTGCAAGATCTGCGATGTGTCTATAGAGGGGGACCCCCTTCTCAGCTGCTCCAGCCTTGCACACAGCCAGGGACACGCCCAGGATGGCATTGGCCCCAAACTTGGCTAGAGGAAGCAAGCACAGAGAAAGGGTGAATGCTTCTTCCCCAATGTTTGAGGTCAGCTTCATGAACATCCCTACTGGTCACCCCAGGAAGAAGCCAAAACTCCAGACCACTGGGCACTGAGTTTAACAGATCTTTCCCCAGCAACCTGAGGTGCTCTGGGAGCCCTCACCCCAGGGGGATATGTTAGCTTCATATCTGTGTCCACAGCCTGGCCCAGGCCTGGCAGAGGACAGGCATCAGGAAATGCCTGTGGAATGAATAAAAATCCATCCAGTTACATACAATATACCCCCAAATGAGGCACACAGAAATAAACCTAGCCAGGCCTCAGCCCAGCAGTCTCTCCCACCCCTTCCACATGCCATCTTTCTCCCTATCCCCTCACTCACACTTATTCTCTGTCCCATCCAGCTCGATCATAAATTTGTCAACTTTTTCTTGATCCACAACACTGAGTTTCTGGAAGGACAGGTTTGAGGAAGGGAGAGCAGAGTTAGGGCATGTGCCAAAGGAACAGGAAGGCGGGTATTTAGGGGAAAGGCATGGTTGGCTTCTCCCAAGCATGGGCTGTCTGGAATGAGGCACAGAGGTATGGGGATAGGGGGTCCACTTGCCTTTTCCAGCAGAGCAGGGCCTAGAGTCTTGTTGATGTGTTCCACGGCTTTCAGGACCCCTACAGAGGAAGGGTTCAGATCCCCAATTCAGTCAGATCTCTTCCTGAGCCCCTGTTCCTTTAAACCTTTGTCTTCCATTCCTCTACGCTGCACAGATGTTGTACGCCCACATCCTGAAAACACCAACCCCCACACAGATTCCCCCAGTATTGGTCTTCCCTCACCTTTCCCCAGGTAGCGAGATTTGTCTCCATCTCTCAGTTCCAGAGCTTCATATATACCAGTGGAAGCTCCGCTGGGCACAGCTGCTCTGAATCGGCCTTGGGCAGGAGGAATTGTTAAATCAACCCGAGTCCCACCCATCCCCCAGGGGCAGAAATCCCCAGAGAAGAGAGACTTGTAGAGAAAGTCTTCTGCTTCTCAAAGTTAGAGACCAGGTTTGAATGGAAGGCGGGGTTGGGGGAGGGGAATAGGAGGGAAGCCAGGAGAGAGAAGTCTGGGGAAGGGGATCCCAGAGAAAGGACAGAATGTGGCACAGAGTTTGAGGCAAAGGGCTTGGGGTTTTCTTAGGCAACCGAATTCAGTGGGCCCATACCCTTGGCTGTGTACAGGTCTACCTCCACCGTGGGGTTGCCCCTGGAGTCCAGGATTTCCCGGGCAAAGATTTTCTGCATGGCCATGGCTGCACGACAAGGGGTTTGAATTAATGTGGACAGCTGATCCCTGAAGGAACCCCAAATCCCTTGCCCTTTAAGAGTCTTCCCCACCCCAAGAAGGCAGGTGCTGGAGATAAAAATAGCCCACAAAAAGGTCACAGACCAGAGGCAGGCACAGCCCCCTCCCCCACTCAGAATGGGTCCTATTGCATCCTCCCATCCTCCAGGGGCCTCTTCTTTATAACTCTAAATTCTAGCACTTCCTGAACCCCCATCTCCCACAAAGCTGCATGTATGCCTTTTCCCTTCACCCTTCTGGGCAAGCAATCTGTTTTCTATGGCTTCCTAGCTCTCAAATCCTCTCCTGTTACTTTGGTTCTCATTCTCCAGTCTTTTCCAAATCCTCAGGGCCCCAAACCCCCCACCTGGCTCCAACTCCACCAGTTTTTATGCATCTCTGTTTGCCTCTCCTTAGAGCCTCCTCATTTCTCTATTCTTGGGTACCCCCCGTGCTGCTGATCCAACCCCTCCAGTCTTTCTCAAGCACACCCAGTCCCGGAATGAAAAAAACATGTTTCCCCTACTTTTTTCAAGCCAGCACCACCAGCACCCTTTACCATCCCCATCCTGGCACACTAAAAGATTCACCAGACCTGTGATGTCTTCGCTGGGGGTTTGAGTGAGCTCGGAGTCTAGGTGGCAGCTGGGACAGTGTCAGCTCACCCCCTCTCTGTCTGGGCATTTATCCCCAGCCACCCTGTCCCATAGCCAGCCCCGCCTCTTTTTCTCTTTATCCTCCCCCCCCTTCCCTGGCTGGCAGCCAAGTGCCCACTACAGCCTAAAGAAGCTTTGGGCACTGGTTACCTGCCCCCCCCCTCCAAAAGGTTAATGACTACTTCACTTTTCTGTTCCCCTAGTACAAGCCCCTACTTTTAATTCCACCCCTGGGGAGGAGTAAGGGAAACTCCGGGTTAGGGGGTCTCTCCCCGCACAGGATTATATTTCCCTTTTGCAAAGGTTAAAAAAGGAGCTAGCGGCCTTTGGGAAAGGCCAAGGGTAACCCGAGCCCCGCAGGGCTGGGAAGGGGCCTGGAAGAGGGGCTGCAGGATTGACATTTACCATGCTCTTCTGACAAGGCGGTGTGGCGGCTGCAACCGCCCTCAGTAGGGGAAAGGGTCGAAGACTCCCGAGCAAGCTCTGATGTCTAAAATTGAATCCCCTACTCAGAAAGCGAGAGGACCTCACCTCTAAGGGTCTTCATAGCGGCCTTTCTCGGCTCCACCTCATCCTACCCTCACTGGGCCAGTATGGGTGGTGGGGGGCGGAGGGGGGTGCGCAGGGAGACAAATTTAGACGCGCCCTCGGAGATGGCCAGGCGCCCTGATAGCGACAGCGCTGGTGCGGCACTTAACGCACAGCGTGGTGCCTCTCAGTTGGGAGCCCCTTTCCCCGAGGGCGCCCCAGGGCACGACCCTAGCCTGTCAAGGAATGATGCTGAATCCGCAATAAATGAATGATGGATGGCCTAGCACCCGGGACCAGATAGAGGTTGGCCAGTAGCTCTACTGGGAAGTGGGTCTCCGCATTTGGTCACTCGCCCCTCCTCGGCCGGTCTGGGGCAGCGCTGGCCCAGAGTTCTACCGCAGGCCGGGCCGGGAGGGAGGCGCGCCGAGGTCACAAGGCCCCTCCCGCCGGCGCCTGAGCAGCCCGCACCCGGTGACTCACCCCGGCGGCCCGCTCCCTAGCTACCCTATCCTCCCTGTCTGCCCCGAGGTGTGTCTTGTCTTGTCAGCCCCCACCCAGGAATCCCTGCACCCCATCTCCCATCTTGCCCTCCTCCTTTATCTCTGGCCGCTCCCTCCAGCGAATTTTCCACCCTGGGGTGGGGGGTGCGGCCAGGCAGAGGTCAGGTTATGGCGGGCGGGGAAGCCGCCACGTGCCCGAGTGCGGCCCCGCCCGAGAGCGCCAGTGACTCAGTCGCGGCGGCTGTCGAGGAACACGGGTTCGGGGGGCGCTGGGCATCGGGCTCAAAGGCTACAGGGAGCCGCGCCCCGCTGGGCAGGAAGAGCGACTAGCGAAGCCCCTTCCCGCCCTGCACGCGCCCCTCCCCCTGGGGACCGGAAGCGGCCAAGCCCCTCTGGGGCGCGAGCGGCGGGAGAGGCCAGTCTCCTAACCCGCCGCGGGGTGCAGCCCCACCCCCTTGCCAGTTGGCGGCGAGCGAGCTGGTCGCGCACGAGTTCTTAGTAGCTAAGTTTTACTGAAAAAGGAGGGAAAAAAGGGGGGCTCAAAGTACAAGGGACTTTCCCTTTCTTGAAAAAGTTGCAGAATTTAAACTTCTTAGTGTCCTTCCGCATTGGAAAGTAGTCCGTGCGCCTGTTCCCGCGGCCGCTCACGCTCAGTGTCTTCTGTGGAGACGGGCTAAGCGTCACGGCCGGTGACCCAAACTGCTGCCTGGGCCTGAGTCGTGGTGGTGGGGCCTTGGGCTGGAGCAAGGCCAACGAAGGGATAACCCTCCTGAGGTGGGTCGGGGTGTGAGCTCCAGTGAGACCAACTTGCGCTAACTCAGTAGACACTACGGACGGAAATGTCTCCAGTAGGTGCCCTCCACTCTGAAAACTGCCTGGGTGTTAATCAAATTCTTCCTTTCTTGAAGAAATAAAATCAAAAGTGCAGAAGCGGCAACGCACACGCCGCGCTCCCGCCCCTTCCGCCCGGCAGGAGACACGTCCCCGGCCCGCCAGCCTCAGCAGGGGGATCCAAAGCGGACGGTCCGGCTGGGCGCGCGCCCGCGGAGCCGTCCGCAAGCACCAACCGCCCCACGCGCTTTCGCTCCCGGCGCAGGCGCGGGCGCACGCGCCGCCGCCGCCCGCCGTTCCTTCCCTCCCGCGGAGGTGGGGGGGGGGGAGTTGTTCCGTTTAACCCTGAGTTACCCGTACTGTCTTTAATTCGCTCAATTTGTAGCTTGCTAATTCTCTGCTCATATTCCTTTCCTCTTCTGGTTCACTTCTTTCCCCTATACCGAAGTCTGGTTTATATTAAATGCAAAGTGGAGCGAACCTTAATCCTAAGCTCTTTCTACCCACCCCCCATTCTTTCACATTGCTTTCCATCGAACTCGGCAAATTTTGCAATGGGGGGAGGGATTTTTAAAAAACTGCATTTGCAAAGTTCGGTATCTGGGCAGGCGGGGGATGGGGGGAGGGAGGGAATGGGAAATAAGCCCCGCCCCTACCGCCCATTGCAAATAAAAATCTAGGGGGGGGGGGAGGAGCAGGAAGTGGCGGTGCGAGGGCTGCTGCACAGCTAGCAGAGCCGCGGTCCGGACGGCAGCGCGTGCCCCAAGCTCTCCGCCTCCCCCCGCCCGCCAATCCGAGGCAGCCCGAGCCCAGCCCGCGGCCCAGCAGCAGCGCCGAGAGCAGCCCTAGTAGCAGCGCCATGGCCGGGTGGAACGCCTACATCGACAGCCTCATGGCGGACGGGACCTGTCAGGACGCGGCCATCGTGGGCTATAAGGACTCGCCCTCTGTCTGGGCCGCCGTGCCCGGGAAAACCTTCGGCAACATCACGGTACAGCGAGGCCTGCGCGGTCCGGGGCTCTGTCCCGACTTGGACCCTTAGGGAGGGACTTTGGTGGGGGTGGGCGCGGTCTGGGGAGGGCAGCGAAAGGCCGTGACCCGGCTTTTTCCCTGGAAGCTGCTTGAATGGCGGCTGCACGTGAGCGGCACCTTCCATTGCCCCGTAAGTCTACGCCCCAGGCTGCGGCTCCCATCCCGCCGGTCGCCCCGCTTCCCGCGACGGGGCGTTACATCCGGGGCACAGGGCGGGGAGGGGCGCGCCGCCCGGTGCGGCGGCCCACTTCCGCCTCCTCCCGGGCGGGGCGGGCACGCGTTGCAATTTCAAGCCGGGATTGTGATTGAGCAGCGACTTGGGGACCCCTGGACCCCAGCTCCATTTCCGCCCTCCTGCTCGCGCTCCTACCACCATTGTTCCCCCTTATGCGGAAGGGAGCCCGTCGCGTGGCCTGATCCCATGCCCGTCATCTGTGGACTCCCTGCCCCTCCCAACTCCGTTAGAGAGGGCGAGGCCACCCCACGCCCCCCCCCCCAAGTCTGTACGTTGGACTCAACATTCCTGAGAGCGATCCCGGAAGTCCCCTCACCCTCCCTTCCCGCCTTCCGGCCTGGACCAGGGAACTTTGTGAGAAGTTCTAGGACAGTGTAAATGAAGGAATAAGAGATGCCTACTGCTGTCCCCATCATCACCTCCCCTGTCTACACTGTCCGGAAGTGGGGAGGGGGAACGGAAGTTTGAAAGGGGGGAAGGGGGTTTCCGGGCGGGAGGGGACCGGATGTGGGGATTTGGGGTGCAAGGGGGAGGGGGAGAAATGGTCCCTAGGGTATCTAGACTAGAGAGAGCTGGCTTGCCGTGTCAGGCCCTGGTAGCCTTCAAAAGTTTTCTAACTTTCCCCGGAAAGCCCCCAGGGATCTGCTGCTGCTTCTTGGGACATTGGTACCTGGACCCAAACTCTAGGTTATTTGGAGACCCAGGCGTCCGGGTCCCTAACTACTCCTGTAGAACCTTTGACCAAATAAGGGCAAAGTTGCTTCTCCTGCCTTGCCCGCCCCCTCCCTTCCCCTCTTAGCTTCTGCTTTTCCTGAAGGAGAGTTCTGAGCATCCAAAGGCTCCCACTCCATTCCATTCCATTGCCCTCCCCTCTGGGGACTTTTGGCCCCCTTCTGTTTTCCTGGTTTGCTTTCCCTATTAAATGAGACCTAAGTCTCCAGAGGAACATGTCTTTCTTAGTACCATCCTTTGGATTTGAGATCTTTTCCTGGTACTAACTTCTAGCAGACTTGAAGAGTCTCAACATTTTCATGGATATACACAACATACATCTCATCTCCTAGGGGTTCTCTCTAGATCCCTAAGAAGTGGAGGGTGGGCTTGTCCTTCGAAAAGGTGGGAGCCTTGGTATACTAACTTGACTGGTGCTTGGTTTCCCCTTCCAGCCAGCTGAGGTTGGTGTCCTGGTTGGCAAAGACCGGTCAAGTTTTTTCGTGAATGGGCTGACACTTGGGGGCCAGAAATGTTCTGTGATCCGGGACTCACTGCTGCAGGATGGGGAATTTACCATGGATCTTCGCACGAAGAGCACCGGTGGAGCCCCCACCTTCAACATCACTGTCACCATGACTGCCAAGAGTGAGTTTCTGAATCTTACCTTTCCTTTAGTTCCAAGATCTAAAATTTACCTCCTAATAATCTTTTGGGTTCTTTTTCTGTGTAGTTGTCTAAAAGCAAGGGAGTCGAGACAACACTCCGTTGTCTGCTAGACGTTGGGACATTTGACAGTCCCTCCAGTTGTCTCAGTTCCTCTTGTAATATAAAGAAGTTGAACTGTGTTACTTAAGTTCCTTCCTACCTTGAGTCTTGAGATGAGAACTCCTGATTTTCTTTGAAGGAGGTAGACTATTAGAAATCTGCAGTAAACGCTTGATCTTTTGAGTGCCTTTGTTAAAATTTGGATATAGCAGGCTCATCCACAGCCATTTCAAGTCTAAACATGAGTCAGTAGTCTCTTGAGTTTATGACCCCTGAATTTCTAGTGTGTTCCTTTCCAGCCTTTTAAACTTGATTTTTTTCCCCTCTTGAAAAGCCCTATTGTTTTAGGGTGACTGACAGCCTGCCTGTGAGGGGGGAGTTGGGAGAGATGAGATTGGGTTACAGCCCCCAGGGCTGGACAGCTGCTGAACAGCTGGCAGGGGGCAGAATTGTGACACCTGGGTCCTAGCCTCCTTTCTCTTTCCTCCAGCGCTAGTCCTGCTGATGGGTAAAGAAGGTATCCACGGTGGTATGATCAACAAGAAATGTTATGAAATGGCCTCTCACCTGCGGCGTGCCCAGTACTGACCTCGTCTGTCCCTCCCCCCTACCACTCCCCACTGCTTTTGCACCCCTCCTTCCCGTATACACACATACACCATTTTTATTTTTGCGCCATTACCCCACACCCCTTATTGCTGCCAAAACCACATGGGTTGGGGGCTGGGGCTGGATGGACAGAGGCCTCCCCCTACCCATCCCCTTCCTGTGTGTGGTTGGAAAATTTTTTTGTTTTGGGTTTTTTTTTTTTTTTTTTTCTGAATAAAAAAAGATTCTACTAACAAGGTGCTGTGTGGTTTTAGCTTGGGTGTCAGGATGCAGAGTAGTTAAGGAGACTTGCCTCCTTTATACTAGTTTGGGGCTGGGAGCAGGAAGGCAGCACATTTAGGAAGTTGAGGTTCTTGCTTCCATATGATGGACCAAGCACCTACTGCAGGTCTACCTGGCCAGCTGGCTTAGCCCTTCCATAGAACATTTCTAGCCCTTGACCGTCAGTGCAGTAGCTGAGTTGGTAGATGATGGAACAGAGCCACCCAGACCAGAGAATGGGTCCAGGCCTGTGGGTAAGGCAGGGCCAGTTGAGTCATCCTTGTGTGGGTGGGGCTCCCCCTCTGAATCAACAACAATCGCTTGCTGGGGCTGTCCCCATGACTACAGGTTAGATTCTCCAAGCATTCCCTTGCCCCTTTATGTCAAATGAGGGGACAGTCTACCAAAAAGTAGTAATTTTACCTGTTTAATAACCTCATCTTTCCTTAATCCACAAAAACAATTTTATTTACCCAGTAAGTGAAGATCCAGTCCCTTTACACTTCCAACCCACTCAAAAAGGATGGGGTTGGCTAAGGAAGAAGCCTGGGGCAGAAATGAACCCCCACCACTGAACATAAGAGACTAGAGAGAAGAGGGGCTGTGCAAATAGTTCACCGGGAGAGGGAAAGGGGGAGCATCAGATTATGATGGCAGATGAGGTGGAAGGAGTGGGTGGGGGATCTGTTGAAGACCCAGGAAAAACAAATGGAGCTGGGGCTAGAGAGCCGAAGGAGGTGGGGGGTGTGGGGCTGGAGCCCAGAAGTGGGGTCCGTTCTGAGGCAGGGTGGTCCCATGGTTCCCCTTCCTCATCACCCTCTTGCCCCTGAGCTTCTTCCTCCTGCTCTTCATCCCCAGGACCTCGATGAACGGGCTGCTTACAGATGGGGCAGGTCTTCCGGGTTTGAGTGAGCCAGGGGTCCACACAGCGGCAGTGGTAGGCTGCGGAAAGGAATGAGGTGAAGCACTGAGTGCTCAGGGATGGGGTGGCGGCCTGGGCACAGGAAGTGAGGGCCTCACCATGAGCACAGGGAAGCACCCTCAGTTTGTCCCCATCCTCATATTCATCCAGGCAGATGGCACAGACATCATACTGATCTCCTGAGAAAGGAGAAAAAGGGATCCATTTACTGAGCCATCCTGGTCCATGGGTCACAGGATTCTGGGAGGCCTGTGGTGGAGCTAAACCCTGCAAAAGTTACCTTTTCTGGTTCTACAGAGCCAGTGAAACAGCTACTAGAGCTGGGTAAAGGCCAAGGCAAAACATGAAGAAGGGACAAGCAAAGCAGCAGAGGTAAGGGAAGTGGGTTTTTTGATGGGAGGTGTGAGGGTGGAGATATAGGGAGTGGGCGGGGTGGAAGTGGGGGGGCAGGGCTTCTACCATAACCTTATATGGACACTGAAGGCTCCAGGGCCTCAAAACCCAGCCCCTCACCTGTTACATACAATCTCAGACCGAATCCTTCCCACTCATTCATTCCACTTTTCTGCTCTCAGAACCTTTTAACCTCATACCCCTAAAATCTTCCATTTAATCATTTCTGCTTTCCTCCACCTGCTTGTTCCATCTTCTGTACTTGCCTGTGTTGTATATACAGGTAAAAAGGAGAGAAGGTGGCCTCTCAGACTGATGCCTCTTGGCCATCTTTCTCTGCCCCTTATTTCCCGGGTTCAAACTCCCTCAGAATCAGGTAAGCTTTAATAGAAGGCCCTCCTCTTCCCTCACCCTTCTGATAGTCATGGGTAGGGATCTGTTTCAATTGTTCTTTGGTCAGTCGATTCCTCTGAAGCCTTTTCCGATGCTGGATACAACGAACTATCTGGGGGAAGGAGAAATAGATGGGTCAGGCGTATGAACAAAACTAGACAACAGTACAAGCCATATCCACACCTCTCAACCCCAGATCCAGTGTGGCTTTCAAAACCTCAGCTCTTCCATCGTGCTCCCGGAGCTACTTACCATCACTACTCCCATGGCCAATACCAGCAGTCCCACGATCCCTGTAAAAGGGATGAGGTAATAGCCCAAGGGAAAGCTATTGTCTGGGACCAGAAGCACCTGAGCCCTGGGAAAAGGAAGACCAGTATCAAGGGAAGAAAAAGCAAAGGGACAAAGTAACTTGTTCGATGAGGCCCGGGGGATGGGAAGAAAACAGGGCTTGAGGCTGAATGGTTGGGACACTGGGTTTTTGGGTTCAGGGTGGATGAAGGTGCTAAAGGAATGGGAAGGACGCACACATCCTACCCCTTCTCGTAGACGTAGCGGGTACGCAGATACTCGGAGCTTGTCTCCCCAATGAACACAGATGGGATCCAGATCTGCTGCTGGATTTCCTCTGCAGGGATCAGGGCATTATGCCAGGGACCCAAGCCACCCCTCAAATCCTTTGGTAATTCTGGAATTTGAAACTCTTTACCTCATCCATCAAAACTGGCTGCTTTTCCCCTAAGCCTTCAGCTTACCCACCACTTCTGCCTGAGCTCTACCGAAAATTCAACTTTCTAGATTTCCCAACCTTACCACTATTCCACACCATGTTCAGAAGTTCATTGGAATTCACGTTGTGTACCACAGCAGCACCATACCCAGCCTTCTGAGCATTGAGAACCTAGGAAGACAAGGTAAGGAATAAGCCATCACCAGTCTGCCTCCCTTCATTTCTGGTGCTTTTTTTACCCTAAGCTTCCCAGCTCCCACTCCACATTCAGCAACCTTGACGTCAAAGTTGCAGTCGTATCTTCGAAGCAGTGCAATAAAGACTGACCCATTCACCGGGGCTAGGGGTGGTGGGGCAATGGGGCTGCAGGCATTGGCTGGGTGAGCCTCCACAAGGAACCCCTGCGGGAGAGAAGCAAACAACGGTTGGACTTTAACTAAGGTTCTGCTCCCCAAAGGGCCCCTAGCCTCCATATGCTGCATATCCTCTGTCCTCATGAATCATTCCTGGCCCCTCTGAACATCCTGTTTTAAGTCAGAAGTCTACCTCTTCATCTCCTGAAGGGTCAATTACGGTAGTCCCCCCTCATCCTGGGATACATTCCAAGAGCCCCAGTGAATGCCTGAAATTGCAGATAGTATGGAACCAATATACTCCATGTTTTTCTCTATACATACTACTTTTTTAAAATATATAATAGTTTAGTTTTACATTCGTCATTTTGCACCTTTCCATCTCAGTTGTAGTCTTTGTGGGCTTCCCATCATCAAATCATCCATGTGCCATCACCAAATCATCCATGTGCCATCACCATAGTCCCATGCACAACTACCCCCATTTTTTAATCTCATTCCCCACTCTACTCCCATAAAATGACTGGTATATAGTTGTTCATTATTATTATTTTCTCCCCTGGCCCTTTATACTCCTGCTATGAATGAAACCATCTGGTATTTTTCCTTTTCTTTCTGGCTTACTTCACTAAGCATGATCTCTTCCAGCTCTATCCATGTTGTTGCAAAAGAAATCTATATTTTGATAAAGTTTATAAGTCAGCTGCAATAAAGACTAGCAACAAATAGAACAATTTTAACAACATGCTATAATAAAAGTAATGAGAATATAGTCTCAAAATAGCTAATACTGTAATATTAGTTATACTGTAATAATAGTTTCAAAACGTAGCTAATGTTTTTAGACTGTGGTTAACCACAGGTAATGAAACCAGGAAAGTGAAACCACAGACAAGGGGGTCTACTACATATCAAATTTTACAAGAACCACCTATGGTCCTTCTTGCTGTCCTAGATGAGCAAACCCAAATCCAATACTCAAATCGATTCAAAGTCTGCCTTCTAGTTTCCCACTGATTGATTGCAGTTCGATTTACCAATCCAGATCACTTTTCCTCAAGTTCTGTGTCATGGTCCCTTTTCCAGTACACACACCTACAAAACACTTGCTCCCTTTTGACAATCACAAACAAATGCACTGATAGGTACACCCCACATGAGTTCTTGCCATGTGGCAGACTGATGTACAACAAAAGTTGATCTTCACACTATCCCTGAGATAACTTCTATTACCTCATTTTACATTAAAATTAGGTTGATAAACTACAAACCCGTGTATGGCAATAAAACGTATTAATTGGCTCTAGAGACCCTAGTGATGAACACTTCACCTTCCCCTTCACTTAGACCGCTTTTGGTCTCCCTAATAAGGCTCACAGGTCTAAGGGTGAGCACTGTCTTTTCCTGTTTTGGATTCCACACTGGATATACTTGTGCATTTAATTCCTAACTTCCAGTTTCACCCAAGAGCAAGGTTCCTCAAACCCTAACCAGGATGAAGGGTTTGGGAAAATAGGGTAAAAGGAAGAACATCACCTGAAGTCCCTCCTGGCTCAAGGCAGCCCCAAAGAGCGCTGGGAGGTCTGCAAAGTCCATGCTGGCATTGTGGTCCAAGGTCTGCGGATAGAAGCGACATTCCCTTTCAGCCTTCAACCTCCCCCTTCACAGCCCTTCCCCCCACATGCCCCGCAGACTCACCGCTCGAATGAGCCCACGGGTGGGGGCCGCTCCCCACAGCACAGTGGCCACCACCACAGGAAGCGGGAAGGCCGCGGGGTGCATGGCAGCAGGAGGGGAGAGGCTGAAGAGGCCTCGTCCTGGCAGGAGCAGAAGCGGCGCTCTGTGTCCTCTCCTTCAGGGCCCCAGGGGTTTAACTACCCCCAGGTCCCACTTTCCAGCTACATGGGGGCGCGGGGAAAGCGCCCCTACTCGGGGAGTGAGCGATCCAACCCGCTTAGTGGAGTTGGGAGGTGGACACGAAACGTATCCTTTTTTGGTATGTGGATAAAATGGGGAAAAGGAATGAAGGCAAGCACAGGTGACAGAAAAACTTCTGGAAGGGTGGGGGAATTCAGGGAGGTGGGACTTCCGGCCAGGTGGACCGTCTTCCTATTCCCAGGAAAAGGGGTTTCCGGCAAAAAGTGTCAGGCCGCTTCCAGCATTGGACGCTCAAGATGAAGGACTTCCGGTCCTAAAAGGCCGGTTGAAAGAAAGGTTAGAAGTGGAGAAAGTGCCTGTGGAGGCGGAGGGCGCATCGATGCCCCAGGAGAAGTCTTCGTTTACGCTTCTGCGCCGGGACCCAGGAGCTGCGGGGTTTACAAACCTCTCCTATTTTCTCGGGCCGCCGCCGCCGCCGCTGCGGTGGTATCTTCAGATCTCGCGAGAGTTCTCACCACGCTTCCCACCCCTGAACTTTTGCTAAATCTATCGCGAGAAACCTTACCCTGGCCGGCCTAACTCACTCGATCTCGCGATACTTTCAAACCACCTCCTCTCCTTTTCCCGCGATTCCAATTTGGTAAAAACTGAATTTACGCTCTGGCTTCCTACATCAGCCACACCCCTTCTCGCAATATATCCTTTAGCTCCGCCTTACTCCCGGCCGCCTTTGCGGTGCGCGCCTGCGTCTGCGCCACCTTCCAGCTAGTGCTGGACCTGAGAACTGGAGGGGCGTGCGCGCGCTCCCTCGCCCCTGTTGCGCGCGCGGTGTCACCTTGGGCGCGAGCGGGGCCGCGCGCGCACGGGACCGGGAGCAAAAGGCCACTGAGTGGCGATGGCGGCGACAGCGAGTCCTGGGGCCGGCGGGGTGGACGGGAAACCCCGTACCTCCCCTAAGTCCGTCAAGTTCCTGTTTGGGGGCCTGGCCGGGTAAGCTCAGGCCCCAGGAATGGGAAATGAGGAGGAAGGGAAGGGTGCTAGGAACCGGGCTGGGTTCATCTTTGGGTCCTTTGCTATGAACCGACCTGAGACGGGGTCAGCGGGGTTCCCAGCGTCTAGCGAGGTCCTTGATGGGTTACCAGGATCTTTCCACCGTTTGCAGGAGTCCTGCTGAGTTCAGGGTCATTGCATGGCTTCCAAGGCTACCTGAGTTTCCCAACCCATTGGCTCTGCTGGGTTGTGTAGGGTTCTGAGTCACTGAATGACTCCTGCCAGGATACAGGTCATGAATGCCTACCTCCCCTCCTGCGTGTCCCAGATACTGCTTTGACGACCCTCCCGGAAGCGCCCCCCCCCCAATGAATTGCTTAGAATACTTTTATTGCGTGGCCCCTATTGGACTATTGAACTTTTTAGAGTGGTTGCTTTTGGTTCACACAGTGACTCATGCACATGCCTACCAGCTTCCTGAACAGTCATTTGCAAGGCAGACCCAGCTCTCTGACACCTTAATGCCAGATTTCAGTGGCCATTGGTAGATTTGGGATACCTGGTCCTTGATTCCATCTCTGTCTTCTCACAGGATGGGAGCTACAGTTTTTGTGCAGCCCCTGGACCTGGTGAAGAATCGTATGCAGCTGAGTGGCGAAGGGGCCAAGACTCGAGAATACAAAACCAGCTTTCACGCCCTCACTAGCATCCTGAAAACAGAAGGGCTGAAGGGCATTTATACCGGGTATTGGGATCACATAATGGGGGGAGGAGGTTAGGTAGTGTGTTGGCAGCTCCAGAGTTTGTCCTGATGTGCTGACCCCTTCATTCTCAGGTTGTCAGCTGGCCTCCTGCGCCAGGCCACCTACACCACTACTCGCCTTGGCATCTATACTGTGCTCTTTGAGCGCCTGACAGGAGCTGATGGAACACCCCCTGGCTTTCTGCTGAAGGCTCTGATTGGCATGACAGCAGGTGCAACTGGTGCCTTTGTGGGAACACCAGCTGAGGTGGCTCTTATTCGCATGACTGCTGATGGCCGGTGAGTTCCAGGTCTCAGACTATCCCCAGCCCTGTTCCCTGAAGTCTCAAATGAAAGGATTAAACTTTTATCCTACATCTGGAGCAGAGCATTCACCTCTTCTGGCCTCCCTTTCTTTGCTCCTGTGGGACAGAGTGGTCTATCCTGAGCTTGGCCCCTCCTTCCTGCCTTCCCACCAGGCTTCCAGCTGACCAACGCCGTGGCTACAAGAATGTGTTTAATGCTCTGGTTCGAATCGCCCAAGAGGAGGGTGTCCCCACACTGTGGAGGGTGAGTGAAGGGGTGGAGATCTGGGGGTTGTGGGGTTTTGGGCGTTTCTCACTCACCCGCCCCCACCCCCCCAGGGCTGTATCCCTACCATGGCTCGGGCTGTCGTCGTCAATGCTGCTCAGCTCGCTTCTTACTCCCAATCCAAGCAGTTCTTACTGGACTCAGGTGAGACCCGGAGCTGGGCCCTCAGCTCCCAGCCTGGCTGGGGCCCAGTCCCAAGCTGACTGCCATTCCTTGCTCTACCTCCCACAGGCTACTTCTCTGATAACATCCTGTGCCACTTCTGTGCCAGCATGATTAGCGGCCTGGTCACCACGGCTGCCTCTATGCCTGTGGACATTGTCAAGACCCGGTGAGTATACAGACCTGGCCCTGAAGAGGAATAGAAGGGCCCTCTTTGTGGCCTTCCTCCTCTCTAGAACGTTCCTTTCTTCTCTCTAGAATCCAGAACATGCGAATGATAGATGGCAAACCAGAATACAAGAACGGGCTGGTGAGGAAGCTGGGCTAGGGGCTTGGATTTCCCTGGGAGGCTTTGAGGGTAGGTGGGTAAGAGGGATGGGGCCCCACAAATCAGGTCCTAGCCCTACCACCCTGCCTGCCTGCCTGTCTAGGATGTGCTGATGAAGGTCGTCCGCTATGAGGGCTTCTTCAGCCTGTGGAAGGGCTTTACACCATACTATGCCCGTCTGGGCCCCCACACCGTTCTCACCTTCATCTTCCTGGAGCAGATGAACAAGGCCTACAAGCGTCTCTTCCTCAGTGGCTGAGGCGGGTGAGGATTTGGAGCCAGCGTGTGGGGCTCCCACTCACCTGCTGCTCCTACAGTCAGTGTGTCCCTGTGGGCCTGGACTCTTTTGCCCTAGGCCCCTCTATTTATTTTTCCTCCACAGTGTGGCCCCCTGCTCCACGGTAAAGGACTTTGGTCTATCCTGCCCTTGCTCCAGCTTGTCCTGCTTGTCCTGCTTCTCTGCCTCTCTGTCCCTGGCTGTGCCTTGGGAGGAACTGGGAAACTCCCTGAGGATTTCCCACCTTCTTTTGGGTATTAGTTTCAGGGCACATAGGACAGCAGAAGATCCCCCACCCCTGCTCAGTGGGGAAACCAAGGCAGAGCTGAGGGGACAGGAGAGAACAGAAACTATCCAGATGGTGAGAGGGTCTTCAGTGGGAGGATGTGGCCCTTCCTCCCTCCACCTCACTGAGGACATAATCAATAAATCGGATGATGATACCACCCACAAATCTGGAGAATTGTGGAGGTGTGGAGGGGGCGGAGACTGAACAAAGAAGCGGATACCCTTGAAGAACAGGAACTGGAGTTTTTAAGGAAAATTATTAAAGAAAAAGCATCCACTGGTTTTATGCAAATCCTGTGTAAATCAATCTTGTTGCAGCAGCTGACAGAGTGAGGAAAAACAAGACTGAGCCCTGTTTGTTGCATCCAACCACTTGCCAAGAACCATGACAGAGGCACAAGTCAGTCATGTCTCTTAATCTCCAGGAAAATCCTCTGGGTTCTGGTGACCACTTCTGCAACCTAAAGAGTCTGTGGGAGGGGAAATCTGATTGGGGGATGGTGGACGCAGGACTTGAAAGAGTGAGCATGGATGGAGCCAGGAGGGTATTGGCCAGACTTGACCTGGGTTCCAGGCTGGGCCAGAGAGTGACAGTTTTATCTGCATCTTCCTTTTTAAATTTATTTTTATTTATTTATGCATGCATGCATACTAGTGCTGGCGTGTAGGCCAGAGGTGCGGGGGTGAGAGGATCACCAGAGACAGAGTGGGGAGCAGAACAGGCATATCTACTGAAATTGCTGAGGGGAGCAGTGAGCAACACAAGAGAGGTCTGCTGCACTATGTGGATCAGGTCCCTGGTCAGGGATTGAACTCTGCTGCGGTGGCTGGGGGCAGTTTGATAGCACTGAGACTTTAACCCCTGTGCCAACAGGGAGGCTCACTTGTTCCTTCCTTTAGAAAGATTATATGACTTCTAGGCCCTGCCCTCCAGGCACCTAAAAACCTCGTGGTGCATAAAAAGGCATGAGAAGGTCAACTGGAAACCTCAGTGAGAGGCTTGAGGATGTCTTGCCAAGCCAGGGGACAGGCAGGCAGCAGGTGGGAGCTGTCCCCTTGGCAGAACCTTTCAGTAGGAGAGGAGGAGGAACTCAGTAGTCAGGTGTCCCTGCTGGGCCCTCCCACTGCCTCTTAACTCCATGCCTGTGCTGGCCATAATGGCCATTTAGACACATGAGACCTGCATCTTGTCCATAAGGAGTTCCAAGTCCACAGAAGAATTTAGCATTGGAGCAGTTGGGAAAGTGGGAGCATTGCAGAATAACTTGGGGTACGTGGGCCAGCATAGGGAGGAAAGACCTTTGCAGAATGGCAATTAGGTGAATGGTGGAAACCTGGTAGCAAAGAAAAAAGAGCAAAGGCTTAGAGGAGAAACATTGGGGACCAGATGAGGAAGGCAGTTTGCAGTAGCTCCAGCACAGGTTGCGAAATGTCCTCGGGGGAGAGAAAGCTGGGCTGTACATAGGGGCAGTGTGCAGCAGCCCTTGCTTGCCAACCTCAAGAGTTCATTCTCTATCTGTGGAAGAGTTCAAAGCAGGAGAGATGTGATTAGGTTCCACCACCTCCTCAAGGAAGCATCTCTTGGAGTCAGAAAGTCTGTCTTCATTTCCATTCTCTGGGCAGAAATGTTTTGGTTTCCTTGGAGGCAAGGCAGGAGAGAGCCCTCTCCAACATGGCCAGGGGACTGGGACAATCTGTGGCACCAGGGGAGAGAAGTGGAGTTGATTTGCCTGTGTCCTAGCTTGGGCGGGAAACCAGAGGACACTTGAGTAGAATCCCCAGAGGTGGTACACGGACAGGCACCATTCCCTTGTCCTGACTGTGCATTTCGGGGGCAGAGGGGTGAGTAGGTAGCTACTTTGGCACCTAGTTCTGCAAGGAGCAGGCAGGTAGGCCTTAGCAGTACTGTTAAGATCCAGGGAGACATTTCTTTAACTGAAAACCACCTGGTGGGTGGTCACCCCAGGAGGAGAGAAGGGGGCCCCCAGATCAGGGAAGTGTAGGTTAAAATTAGTGCTTTATTGGGTGAGTTGTGCCACGGAGGGTGGAGGGTACTTGGGACTTGAGAGTGGTAGTGACAGGTGCCAGCCATGCCTCAAGAAACTAAATTTAAAAGAATAAGACACAGGGTCCTCCTTGGTGGCATAACAGGTAAAGCACAGCGCTGTGGAGCTCTCTGCAGCCACTGCGACATGAGTTCAACCCCTGGCCAGGGAGCTGACCCACATGGCACAGCAGAGCTCTCTTGTCTGGCCCGCTGCTCCCCTCAGCACTGTATTTCAGCCAATCTGCCTGTTTGCTCCCCACTCTGTCTCTGGTGGATCCTCTCACTCCCTGTGCATCTGGCCTATATCCTAGTTCTTGTATGCATAAATAAATAAATCTTTAAAAATATGTATTACACAAATGGTAATGGTGGAAAACTAGAAAACTCAGCAGAGGAAAATAAAATTACCTGCATTTGTATGACAGATAGTCAGGGATTATATATTGCACAGATACATATAGAAGCCATGCTTTTTCTGTTTTTATTTGCTAAAATTTCTTAAAACATCCCAAAATTGACCATAATAACTGCCCTTCCAGCCCCAGCCCCACCCCCTGCAACATAGGAACTTTGTTCTGTGACCCACTCAGTTATCCAGTTTCTCCATCTTACCACCCTCCTGATTCTCTGGGTCTGAGGTTGTGTGCCTCTGGTGTGAAGAGATTTCCGATAAAGAAAAAGTAAGACCTCCCTGACTGACTCTGCCCATCCACCCCCAGCTAGACCCCAGTAGGAAAGTCTGTGAGAGCCTCTCAAACCACTCTCACAGGCTGTGGCCACTGTACCTCACCCCTACTGTACCCAGCAGGTCCTGACCACGACTTAGACTGAGGGCTGAGGGCCACCGTCCTCCCACCAAAGGCCCCAGGTGGCCATTAGGCCGGATCCACAGGAAGAGGCTAGAGCGAAAAGTGGGAAGTGACCCTTGAAGGAAGAGCAGCCAGGCCCGAGGCATGGTCACTTGCCTTCCCCTTTGCAGCTCCAAGTGTGTGGTATACGTGGTAGTGGCCAGAGCGATAGACTGACCAACATCCAGGGCCTGTGGTTTCATGTGCCAGACCCAGGTCAGCAACAGGATAAGGACCACAGAGGCGACCAGGAGCCATAGGAGACCCAAAATGTAGAAGCCCAGGGGGAGGAGGCAGCAGAAATCAGGCTGGAGGAAAGGATCATTTTTAGAGCTATCCAAATTCCCTTGAATCATCCCACGGGCGTTGGAGAAGTTGATATCGTCGAAGATTTTTGTGAATTCTAAAGAGATAGGTTGTGTTGTGGTGGGCTCTAGGGTGGTTGGGGTAGTGGGGGGCTCTGGAGTGGTTGGGGTTGTGGGCGCTGGAGAGGTCGGGGTAGTGGGGGGCTCTGGGGTGGTCGGGATAGTGGGGGCCTCTGGGCTGGTTAGGGTAGTGAAGGACACTGTTGTGGTCAGGGTAGTAGGGGGCGCTGTTGGGGTAGTGGGGGTCATTGTGGTGGAGGTAGTGGGGAGTGTTGTGGCGGGTGGAGTGGGGGGAGTTGTGGTTGGAGTAGTGGTGGGCGCTGGGGTGGTCGGAATAGTGGTGGGCGCTGGGGTGGTCGGGATAGTGGTGGGCGCTGGGGTGGTCGGGATAGTGGTGGGCGCTGGGGTGGTCGGGATAGTGGTGGGCGC